GAAAACATAATGCAAAATGGATATGTACCCAACGACACTAAAATGGAGAATGACCAAAACAGAGTCAACACAAATGTTCTGCCACGATGGCTGCAGAATCGTTATCGCTTTACGTGCGCCGCTTTTCAAAATACGTATTTCGTAACGCAAGGCGTGCTCTTAACTCAATTAAGCTCCATCAATGTGAAGGCAGTCCTGCGCACGCATCGAAACCGAGGAGGCAAAACATAAGTATTGTTGATCCATCTTTGAACACGAATTATGTACGCTCCACGTGCTATAAAACGCGAGGGAGAAACCCGAATAGTGACCGGAAAACAAATAGGAGTATGTAATTCATCAGTCTCTGCAAAAACTGTCGACTGCACGTGTACTGTGCGCTTTAGAGATGGTCCATTTTATATCACTGCTTCAGTCCGCGGGGCGCCGGTCGGAGCGACTCACCGTTCAGCTGCTGTCACTGTCGTCCAGATCGTCCGGCGGCGGCGGCAGCTCCTTCTTCAGCGTCCACACGTAGCTGTCACTGTCCTCGGGGACACCGGGACACGATGTCACCACCTGCGGCCGGCGGCGCACGGGTCAGAAGCTGACCGCTGCAGGTCTCAGTCACCGGGTAGTTGAGGGTTACCAGGTTACAGGACCAACATTGCGATGCAGCTCGGCTCATTATGTTGCTACCTACGTACTTTGAGCGGTAATGCTATAAAATAAGGCCGGCTTGAATAGGATGATCCGTTGGAGGGTCTTACAATTTGATGCGAAGAAGTAGTGTTAGAAGATGGGACAATTATGCACAGTTGTATGATACGATATGATATGATGCGGTCGCTAGACTAGTAGGCAGCATCAGGTTCGGGCGAACAAAGGCCGGAGGCGGTGCGGTACGATACGGTGAGATCGTTCAGTGCCGTAAGGCAAGAACGGAACGGCGCAGACCTTCATCACAAGTGCTGGTACGGCACTTTATACGCAACACACCGTGCCTTCAAAGACTGGGAGGCCAGATCGATAAACGGCGGAGCCAATAAGACAGCGTCATCACTGCTGAAAACACAGGCTACAATAAAGAGAAACTGATGTTGAAAAAAGTCATTGTCATCTCGGTGGAACACGGAATGATCGGAAAACGTTACCGACCAACCAGATTTTATACCATCGACGGGACGCCGATTCAATGACAAAGACGTGGAGACTAAAAAACGAATATGGTTAAAAACAGCTCTTTGACGACGATTGGGTGTGCAACGTGTATTAGCACGATGGGTCTATGTGGCATTATTATGCGGTTCCTGCCTAGTTTAACAAATTTTCATTATGATGCAACTCTCCTCAGACTTTACTCCAGACTTTTGACATTTTCTTTGCGCTCGGTAACAATTAGACATTGTGCCGCGTAGGTATCTCTACTTGAAGGAAAACCGTAGCGGCCGTCACGCTCGTCAGGTGAGGCGCTATAAACAGTGATTTCACGTGCGCTGAGCAGCGTGCCCTGACAATCAGAGTCTTAGTCTGAGACTGCCGAGACGAAAACCGGCTTCAATAACAGACTGAACTCACTGCATTTCCAGAGAGTGAGCCAGCACGGTGCATTCATAAACAACTGGTTATATCTTCCTCGATCAGCACTCAGCAGGCGGTGGTGAGTCAGCAACAAAAAGATCGCGTTTCTTACGCAGCAAGTCTGAATAAATACATCAGTGAGAAAAAACGGATTGCAGCGTTTAAACTTTAAAGTCCTGACTAGTTTCCGAGCATCAGCCTCAGTTACGGATGAAAGAACGGCAACTTCCATATACAAGCCGTATACGAGCCGGTTCGCGCCGGTGCGGAAATGACTGAGCCGCAGTCAAACTGCATCGATTCTACTGGGACCACTGCAGACTAGAGCCTGTGGTGGTATTTGCGAATAGCACCGCTATTGTCGGCTATAGAGTTCGTACAGTTCAACAGGGAAAATGCCATAAGGAGCTGATGAATGTGTTTGAGTCCAAATCAAGCAATACAGCTTTCATAATATGATTGGCATCTACGATGTTACAACTCAGTCTCTTCATCCCACTTTCCCCACAGTTCCCCACCCCCATTTCCCCACAATTCCCTCCCCTCTTTCCCCACAGTTCCATTCCCCCGGTTTCCCCACAGTTCCATTCCCCCGGTTTCCCCACCAGCACCCACCTGGAATCCGAGCACCTCGAGCGCCGACAGAATAACGCAGGGGTGCTGCGGGAACAACACCGTGTAGTTGTCCGTCTGACCCAGCGCGTTGAAGCGCGCCAGCTGTTCCCGGTCCTGACCTGGGAACACGATCGCGGGCAATGGCGACACGGCGCGACGGTGGCGACGCGTGGCGGCCACAGGGACAAATACACGGAGATGGAGCTCCGCCCCGACGACGGGAGATGACGCTCCCTGCGCTGGGCGACAGTGGTGTTAGAAAACAGAAATGCCTGAGAAAGTGCGACCACCGAGACCATAAGCTGAGGTGGAGTAGCGAGGCAGGACTGGACAGTGGGACACGCAACATCAATACCAGTTTTCACTGCCTTTGTAGAACATTATTCAGCCGTAACTGGATCCAGCACCCAAAGCATTTTCATAGCACCAAAACCAGCAGCATGGAGCTCGCACGATGCAAATTCGACCCGCGATAACTGACGACAGACCACCACCACATGCCACCGGCACCAGCGTCAGCACCAAAGTCAGTTTCAATTCCTAATGGTGTCTTGATACAAATCAGCATGAATAATCGCCATTACAGCTCAATTAAAGCACAGTTAGGTATTTTGGCTCATTATAAGAAAAGCCTGTTTATGAAGTTGCTGTCCAAGAGTGGATAAATAGTTGTATGAGAGATAATACCTCAAAATAATGATATTTAATTCAAACAGAACTTTATTAAAAGGAAAAGTGAGGGAATGTCAGGAAGGAAAATAAATAATGGTGTCAGTAAAAGAACCTTACAATAAACAATTGTATTTTGACCATTGTGATATGAAGTTTTTTGAAGTACCTATATCAATATATATAGTTCAAGTATGACCAACGTATTTATCAGTGTAGGGCTATCCCAAATTAAAGTGACAATAGCAACAGACACCAAGAGTGAAATTGGATAAGTGAAGAATCCCCAGTCGAGTCGAAGAAATCGGCAACCATTCACCAGTGGAGTAGCCTTCTCCGCTCACCCTTCAGGCCAGAGACCGAGACCAACCAGTGATTCCGGCCCTCCTCTCGTGGAGTCAGGTTACCCTTAACAACAATGTATGGCATAGGAAAGCCGGGCTGGTCAGCTATCCTGTGAATACCGATGCACCCTGTCAGTTTCAAGAAAAAAAAAACAGGCAAAACACAAGCAGCCAGTGTTAGGGAAAATGCACTCAAAAATACTTTTTTAAGTTTAGTGCAAATATATGAATGACAGGATTCACAAGGACAGAGCCCCCCCCCCCCCCAAGTGAAGCTTGTCTTTTTGCTGCGTTTTTTTAGGTTACGGCAGTTGTGCGATTGTTTTTGTGACATTTGCATTGGTGCTTGGGGCGTGCATTTTGCGTTGTTTGCGTTTGGCAACAGGTGGGCGTTTTTTCTTTGATATTTCAAAGTCCCAGCCTTCAGATCCACAGTACTGTTCAAAAAGTGCTCCCTGAGTTTTTATTCAATCCTCTTGAATACTTAGCTCAAAAACCCTAAGTACCTCAGGTAAATTGGCACTTTCTTCACAACAGAAACCTATCACTCATCTACCATTCAACTTGAACTGGGTAAAAAGTAATAACGCCAGAACCCAAATCACAGAAAAACGTTGCAGGAACCAGAACCAAGCAGGAACAATAGCTCTCAAGCCTACCACCTACATCCCAGCAATTATTAGACGTATCTCAATCTGTACCAAGGTTTATATCAATATAGCCTTGACCAAGGCTCATTGTTTCTTATCATTATGCTTATAATCATATAAAAACACATAAATTGAAATTGAAATTACCCTGATATTCTTCGCGATACCCGGCAGTTGATGAATGTTTTGATATTGCTATGACATACCCCGCGTTCGATGTCTCTCGGACGGCGAAGATTCTACGCCGTCCGGCCAATCACGTTCCATAACCGCAGCCGAGCCCCCGCTAACCTTGAACGGGATTGGTCGGACGACGTAGAATCTTCGTCGTCCGAGAGACATCGAACGCGGGGCAAGATTCTTACCGTAATACAGTCAAGGTTACCGAAATGCGTGGTTGAATTGATTTATTTAGGCAGCCTCAACGAATGACGTAGGAAATCCCAAAAAAAAATCTTCTTTCATCACAACAAAGGCCCATCAAGGGCCCCAACATGGTGCGGGCACTCAGTTGTCAGGGCTTGGTCTGCCTTGCCCTCAGCGAAGAGTGATAGGACCCAGGGTTATACCATCAACACTACTTGGTAGCCTGTCCCTAGGGTTCGCTCCTCGGGACGGCCGAGCCACAGAAGTTCGCCAGCGGTCGCCTCCATTGCCTTACTTGTCCTCTACCACCCCAGTGATGGGAACCAAACTCAAACAAGTGCGAGCGAGGCGGCAAAAGGCTTAGTAGCAGACTCATATGATGTGCGTTAGTCTGCGAGTCACAGCGCAATAGATCGTGGGCATGTATCGGCTGTGAACACACTGTGTTCGTTGACTTTCGATTAAACGTTAACCCTGGCTGGTAAGATTGATGAGATGCCCTCCGTAGAGCGCTTTCATGTGACTATCTTGACACTAAACGGGGCTATGAGGTATGAATTCAGACTTGACGATTTTCTCTTTACAACATTCCGACGTTTGCCTACCCACTGCCATATAACAGTTCATGTCTATCTATGCTGTCTATGATACCAATGGCTGATGCCGTGATCAAATGCTTCGAATTCATTTACTCTGACACGAGACACCAAATCACAGCAACATCAGTGATCACGTAATACTAGATTCGTAATACTAGATACTAGATTCGGCTTCATCCGTCTTCAGAAACCACCAATGAAAACGAGAAGCAGGCATTTGTATTGGTCGCCTACTGACTAATAAACAACGAAAGCAGCCATCCAGCAACCACTTGACGCAAGAACTCATCAATCGGACATGGAAAAGGCAGCGAATGTAAACCAAGTGCACTTAGCTTATTCAGTGCGCAACAGACAAAGCAGCATACAACACGGCTGTTCAAAAACATACGGTCATTCCAAGCGCGATATCGTCTGCCAAACGTCACATCGCCTACAGCCGAACAAGAAGTCCTCTCCATCATAAATGCTTACAGCACGTAGGTACGGTCACAGCACTTCCGCTCCTAGCACGGAGCCCACCCCATGTACGCACCAGCTCACAGCTCGCTCGTCTGACGCTTGGTGATCGTCGAGAGACCTGATCCGCTCCTAGAGACGCGATAGTAGCGGTCGACATAGTCGAGGCGACTCAGCACAGCGAGAAACTCCTCGTCATGAGTAATGATGACCAGCTGGAAGTTCTTCTGAACGACACGCTTACGCACGATCTCCTCCAAGGCCACGGCCAGACTCTGAATGTTATCACGATCCAGGTTGGTGGTTGGCTCGTCGAGTGCCAGCATGCCACAGTTGACGCCAAACGTCTCCGCCAGCGCCATTCGTATGATGAGCGAGGCGAGCACCTTCTGTCCCGCGCTGCAGCGCCCGCGCATCTCCAGTTCCGTGCGCTGTTTCACCATCACCACGCGGTAGTTGTACGTGGTACGTTTCGACGCGTCCCCCGTCGACTGGTCCGTCTTGATCTCGATGTAGTCGATGTCGTTCCCTCTGTATGTTGCCATCCACAACTCCTTGATGATCATGTTGATGCGCTCCATGCGTTTGCTGTGAAAACGGATGATTGCGTCGTCCAGCGCTTTGGCATAGACTTGCAGATCTTTCATGGCCAGGTTGTTACAAGCGAGCTCCAGGCTCTTCTGACGGTAAATGCTCTCCGCATTTCTGAACTGATCTTGACTGAGTTTTGCACTGCGGTCGCGTATCACATCTTTGATTTGTTTCTGCGCGCCCTCCTCACTGAAGACGGTCTCCATTATACGAGAGTGCTTGATTTCCTGGCGGTGACGCTCCTCCTTAACGCTGTGCATGTCATATCCCTCGAGTTGGCGGTCGAGATCAGCGACTTTCTGCTCCAATTTTACAACTTCTGCCTGTTGGCGTCGCAGCTCCTTGTGATCCTCCAGGTCGCGCTTCCGAGTATCTTGCGAGCGCAGCTCATCACGAATCCTTTCGACATTCTCAGACACACGAGTCTTCTCCTGTGCGATTTCGCGATCAGCTTCTGCTATGTCACGCAGTCGCTGCCGCACTGACATCAGTTTCTGTGCTTTGTTGTCCCGTGTGTATGCCAAGACATCGTCGTTCATGGCTTTCAACCGACCTAGTTCCACACGAATGTTTTCGACACGGCTCCGAACATTATCCTTCCTAGTTTGGCCATCGCTTTCCACATGTTCGCGATTGGCAGCAGCTTCTAGGCACTTCGTTTCCAGCTCGCGCACTTCTTCTTCAAGTTTCTCCACCTCGAGGCGAAGTATCTTGTTGGCTTGTTCCAACTCCTCGCGACGTCGCTCTAGCTGACTCTGATCGGCCTGCAGCTTCTCAAGACGGAGTCGCTCTGCGCTCGCACGGTTACGTTCGTCACCAAGCTTCTGTAGTTCGATTCCGTGCTGACGAAGTCGTGTTTCATCACTTCGACGCTGCTCACGTGCGGCAGTCACACAGGCACGCTTCGCTTCCAGCTCAGACCCGACTGCTTCCACAGATCGGTCACTCAGCCGGGCGGGAAGCTGGGCACGCAGTCGATCCACATCGGCCCGAAGACGGCGTACATCTTTTTCTCGCTCATCGATGCGACTCACATCAGTGCGCAGGTCCTCAGCAAGGCGACGGCTGCGATCGGCTTCTTGCTGCTGACGCTGTAGTTCAGCATGGGACTGCTGCAGGCCAGCCAGTTCGTTTTGGGCCTGTTCTAGCTGCTCTCGTGCACTCGGCAGTTCACTATCTCGAAGTTTCACCAAACGTTCCTGTTTGGGTCTTAGCGTCAGCAAGTCGTCATACCGGTCTTTGGCGCGCCTCTTCTTTTCTTCTGCTTCCAATATTTCGCGAGGCAGACCGTCCATTTTACGCTTCAATTCATCCACCAGCTCAGCAGCCTCGTCTTGCGATTCGAAGTCACGGTGACAAAGTGGGCATGGCTGCGCCAGTTCGAGCTTTTCCACATACCGGGCGTTGAGAAGCTGCATTGCCACCAGCGATCCATGATGTTTCTCCAGGTCGGCAGCCTGGGCACTGATCTCAGTAAGTTCAGTTTCCAGGTCGGCTCCTCTTAGCGTCGCGTTCAGTTCGGTCTTCTCAGAGTTCAGGTCACGTTCCAGCGCTGTCACGCGTTCCTGCAAATGCCGTTGTGTCACCTCTTGAGAGTTGATTTGTTTTTGTGATCGCTTCAGTTCGGCATCTTTCTTGTTGTACGTCATCAACAAGTTTGTGCACTTTGCTGCCAAATGTTGGCTGAGCTTATCCTGTGGAACGTCAGCCATGCCCAAAGCACTAAAGCTATCAGCATTTTTGTTCATCAGCCTTCGAATCTCTCCTTCCTTTTTCGTCAGATTTTCTTCGTGGATGCTGAGCTCCTTTCTGACAGACAAGCTAGCATGGATCGCGTCTTTCTCCGCTTCCAGAGTACGAATCTCCGTTTCGAGCGCTGAGATTTTCTTCTCGTTGTCCTCCAGCCGAGCAGTGATCTCACCTTCATTTAGTCCCTCCTTCACTGACTTCAGTTTGGCATCTATTTTCGCCAAAGCCGTGTCTAGCTCCTTCAGCTTCGACGTTGAGCCCCGGGCAGCAACAAGCTGCTCATGGATCTCCTGCGCTTCCGCGTAGTTGGCTGAAAGCTGGGTCTGTTTGTGACCTCGATTCGACTCGAGCTTGGTCTTCTCGACCCGAGTCGAGTCTAAGTGGGCCTGCGCTTGCTCGATGAGGGAGCCAACTTCATTGTTGACTCGTTGTTGTTCAGTTTCTTCTTTTCGCACAGATTCTTGCATGAAAGTTACAGCAGCACGCACATCTTTTTCAGTCAGTTCACCGCTTGTTGTAGGACCATCATGTCGATCATACAGCTCACGCACGAGCAAGTCACGATCCCTTCGTAGCTGGCGAAAACGCTCCTCCTCAGACTCGAGCTTCCCCCGCTCCAGTGTCAATTTTCCTGCTTCGTCTTTCTGAAGTTTCACTTTCTTTTCGATGTCGTCAAGAGTCTTTTCATCTCGAGCAGCTTCACGCTCCTTCCGAGCACGCGAAGTGACCAACTCCTGCATCATTTCATCCAGTTCATCTTCTGTCACATCTGGGTTCACTTTCAGGCAGCCTGGACGTTTCAAGTTCTGGTCCAAAGACGACACGCTCTTCTTGAGTTCACCGAGCCGCGTCTCTTGCCTTGCTTTTTCTGTTTCAATGCTGCTTGCTTCTTTTTCGATCTTCTGAAGTTTCCGCAGCTCAGCCACAATGTTGTCACGATCTGCCTTGCATTTGGTTACCTTGTCTTCGCTGCTAGCAAGGAGGTTCTTTTGATCTGATATCTCCTTTTTCAAATGTTCGGCTTCAGTGTGGTCTTTCTTTGAGCTTGCTGCCTCCACCTTCTTGATCTCAACTTGATGCCGAAGACTTTTCACATGATCTCGCATATTTTTTATGCACTTCAGGTATTCAGTGGCATCAAATATTGCGTCAAAGCGCTCCTTCAGCTTTTTGCCTTCATCCAAAGGCCAATTCGACTCTTCCTGGTGGCAGAAAATCACGTAGTTGAGGATGGGTTTCGTAACTCCCAGGGCAATGAACATTTCAGCCTCCATGTCCGCACACTTCTTGTTGACACTGATGCTCTCCCCGTTGGCCTTGACCTTCGTAAGCGTGCCATCGAGAGTCTTCATAGTGATGGTTTTGGCCTTTTGGGTGCCTTCGAAAATACGCAACGCAGTCATCTTCTCCCCACGAACGTTGGTGAACAGCAGCTTCACCTGTGCCTTGACGGTGACTTCCTTAGCTATCGCTGGGTCGTGAACGAACGACTGGCCCCGGCTCGAGCCAGGAGGCATTTCACCCGTAGTAGCATACTTGAGTGCCTCAATGATGGTGGTTTTACCACAGCCATTTTGACCCAGGATCAGAGTCAACGGCGAAAGGAACTTCAGATAGCCACGGTCTTGTTCTTTTGGCCCGAAACTCCGTATCCCCTGGATCATAACAGCATCAAGAGAAGACATCCTTGCAGATCACCCTGTAGAAGGAAGAAAATTACCGTCATTTGTCTAAATCATACTGTAGGAATAGTAACGCATTTTCCATACAGTACATATTTACTTTTATCATGTATCTAAAGAATTTGATTTTGGGTATTCGGTCAACATTGAGATTTGCTCTTGCTCTAATGCTCTTGTCTTTGGTTACCAAAATATGCTAAACAGCACTGAACTGAAATAAAGACATCTGATGCGCCTTTAGCAAAAGCGAGCGGCGAACCAAGCAACCAAGACATTGTGTGAGCGGACACTCAAATCGCGCAATGAAACAACTGCACCATTATCTAAAAAGTTCCTCTACAGTGTGCTGTACACTCTGCATATACAGCAGGGTACATTGTATGACACATTGGACAGCAGTGACGATGGTTGACAATGGACAGACATACATTCAAGAATTATCCCTCGCCCGGCGAGGGGGGTTAATGCACCCCCCCCCCCCGTAAGGGTTCTCGCGAATAACGTAAAAACGGCAGCGCGTAGCGCCGCCAAATTAAGCATACCTTCTAGAGCAACCTTTTGGCACCTAACCTTAAAATTTCAGGTATCAGTTCTTTCAGGTCAGGTCACAAAAATACAAAAACTGATATAATGTCATGGGAAAATCGGGCTAGTTTAGCGGCAACTAAATGACACGGGTTTTTCGTTAATAATGTGAGTGCAATGGCACGTAGCGCTACCAAATTTTAGACTCGACTTGGGGCATCCATGTGTCACATGACCTGGGAGTTTAAAAGTTCCCGTGACCTCAGGTCAGGTCATAAGGTAAAAAGAACGGTACATTGTCAAAGCGATACTAAAAATGCACCATTTTGTTCATGAAAACTAGAGTTCATCATAGATTTGAGTCAAACTTGCAGGATATGCTTAGCTCACAGAGTGCTATCATAGGAACTACAGTTTTTTCAAATTCGGTTGACCAGAGGTCATCTAGAGGTCATGACAAATTTTAAGGAAATTTGCCCGAATGGGTCTAAATGTCTACAGATGAGATATTTGCGCTCCTTTTTAACGTTTTTTTCTGTTGTACTACCTTCAGTTATATCTACTTGGTGTTTGCAAGCTGCAAGACCGCACGGGTCGGGTAGACTGGCCAACTAAGGTCAAACTACGTTTTTGCTAATAACTTGGCACACAATGAGGCTAGATCTTCAAAAAAAGGTGTCATTGTGTTCCTTGCGATCAGGCGATTCGAATGATATGTAATTTGATGCACTTTGATTAGCTTAAACGTAATTAGTTACTTAAAGTTCACTTAATTTTTAAGAAAATTTAAGTTCACTTACACTGGTAACACAGTATATCATTCGATGCGCATGGACGTGCTGAGTTCACTGGTGCTTTTATCTTTGCTCTACCTTAGGCTTTATTAGATAAAAAGATATAAGCAAAAAACTGTTGGCGTGTTTTAGCGAGATTTTTGCATTTATACCCCCCCCCCAAAAAAAAAAAACTCCCTAACTATTGAGCTAGAGCAACCAAACTTGCACAGGGACGAGATCTCCTATGGGCCCACCTACCCTGTAAATTTGGCATTTCTAAGTGCCATAGGGGGAGGGGGGACCATCAAAGCGTCCAAGACCGCAGCATCCAAAGTACGCAACATCGCCATACCCATATCTAGTCACGTGACGACCAGTACCTAAGAATCAAAAGTTTTCCCTTTTCCAATGCCTTCCATGGGCCAGGTCAAAATCTTGGTCACATGGTCTGCACATGCAAATTTCAAGAATATTGATCATAACACCCCAGATGCCCTGCTTTCACTATCCACCAGCTTCATAAATGAGCACTCAAAAAGCTGGGTGGTGTTTCACCGGTGATAGCAGCACGCTGCTATTCTGCTGACGTCACACTTGTGGTAGGTTGGAGCAATGGGCTTGTTGACATCTCCAAGGAAACCCAATTTGACATGTAGCAGCATGCTGCTATCGAGTATCGCCGGTGAAACACCACCCTGATTATTTTGCTAAGGGTCCCTGACCAAGGCCCCAAAGCCCTAATCAGGGCGCTGTTTGGCGGCCGGCTAGTACTCTAGACAGCGCACATATACGTGCTCGTTGCCCCGGCAACGTGCTATTGACCAATGAGAAGCGTGCTCCGGGGGGGGGGGGGCACAGGTACCATAAGGTGGGGCTATTTGAGACAGTGGGGCTATTTGAGACAGTATTTAAAATTGTTATAAAATACAAATCAATTGAAATGTATGCTTAATTTTAGCTCAGGCGATTTACTGCTCGATTCCACACCTCCCTGTGCAAAAATATCACACAAAAATCAAACGATCTTCATTTTATGGGGATTTTAAATACTGTCTCAAATAGCCCCACTTAACGGTAGGTATGTGAAAAATCACAGTGACATTACACTTTCCTCGCCTCTTATTGGTTAATAGCCTGTTGCCGGGTCAACCAGATGTATGTGAGCGCCGGCAAGAGTACTAGCCGGCCGCCGAACAGGGCCCAAAGCGCTGTTCAGTCGCTGTTTTTATATCAGGATAGGTGGGCATCGTTCCCCAAAATTGTAACTTCGTTACTCGTTCCTCCGTTCCCTCAAAACGTGACTTCCGTTACTCGTTCCTTCGTTCCTATGCATATAATGTAACGGAAGTTCTTTTAGTCCGTTACTCCGTTACAGCAAAATAAAAAACGTTAAAATGTTGTTACGGAGCGAGCGAAGCGAGCGTAGTCTTTCCCAGGCATCGGTAGGATTGTGATTGCAGGATTGCAAAATCCTGATTGCATTCCTTTTTGGTGGATTGCACCTGGATTTGAAATCCATTCACAAAAACAGGATTTGATTGCGGATTGGATTGCATCATACTTCCAATTTTTGCAATCCAATCCGGATTGTGTTTGATTAGTGCTTTGAAATGGTTTGTTGCGATTGAAAATTATGAGATCTGCTTCATCGGCTTAATGTACTTTGCTATCAAGGGCTTTACATCGAAACTTGAAATAATTTAAACGCTTTTAATTTAACCCGCACCCGGCTGGGGTTCCTGGCTTTCCACGCCCTGCTGGGGGGGGGGGGGGTGTTTGAACACCTCCCCTTGTAACTCGGCTCCTTGGCCACGTAGCGATACGCGGAAGGCGGCGTTCGAAAGAGCGTAAAAAATAATGACGAAATCACTTCGGTCAATTTTTGGTAAGGTCAAAGGTGAGGTCACCAGAGGTCATTGAAGGCAAAATTTCGCCGATTTCCAGGTCAAATGTCGAAAATTTCCAAGAAGCCAACGCATAACTCGGGAACCAATAGAGCTACAGCGCCGCGGAAAAGTGCATTCGATAGCCCTATTAACGCCCTTTCTGAGCAATTCCCTCAGATTTGACCTAACGTCAACGGTTTTGCCTGCAGGGGGCAAAAACTGCAAAAATAGCCGATTTTTTCGGACAGTTTTTCTTCAATAACTTTTGACCTAAGCCTTGTACGAGCTTACTTTCACCGGCATCGTGTTCCTCTCGTCAAGACGCATCGAATGAACTATTACTTGACCTTGAAAGGTCAACTTGAAAATTTGACCTCAGGTCAAAGTCATGACCTGACCGGAAAGGGTCATGTTGCATATCAGTCGATCCGTATCGTCGAGCTGAACACATATAAGGCGTTTTCATCGCTCTAGCATGCCTCTATCAAAAGTTATTTACGAAAAACTGTTAGATACCATTCGTGACCTAAGATGACCTCAGGGCACAAACAAGGGTCACGGACACCATTTTTATGTTCAGTGTGTCTAAACCACTTGTAATTCGGTGTTTGGGAGTGTTTATAATGTCTTTCGTCCAAAAGAGGCGCATTTCAATTTTCTCCCATTGACTTATAATGGGGAGGTCGCAAAATTGACCTGACCTTAGGTCATCGATGCCAAAATTCTGAGATATACATTTTGTACATGCTATTTCTCTTAGCAATCGCTGAAAGTTTCAAAGCGATCGGTCATTCGGTGTAGCTATGACAGACATTGAAACTTTTTATGAGGTGAGGTCACTTCAAGTGACCTGGTGACCTGACCTTGAATGACCTTGGTCTGAAATTTTCACAACATGTGTAGAATTGATGTATGATAAGGTGTACCAAAAACGAGATATTGAGATATTCGCGAAAAACCACAAGGGGGGTGTTCAAACACACCCCCCCAGCAGGGCGCGGGTTAAACCCTCAAAATAATATACGCTGATGAACTACATAGGAAGGGCAAAATTACGTATTTGAGGGCGAGTTTAAAAATATAAAACACTGGTTGGGTAGAGGTTTAAATGTGGGGGTGTTTGAGGCAAAAAATATTTCCCATAAAATACCCGTGCCTTAGATGGGAATTACTCGCAAGACTAGGTACTAGAAATGGGTGATTTGGGGATGAGGGCACGACCCTATGCCCACCTCCCTCCCCCAGATCCACTCCCACATAACACACACATATCATAACCATGTGGTAACCATATGGGCATGCCCATCTATTTCACATGGTGCCCACATGGGCTGCCCATATGGGCACCACACATATTTGGAAGGTGTTTCTGCATGGTAACCATATGGGCTGCCCCATGTGGTAACCATATGGGCTGCCCCATGTGGTAACCATGTGGGCTGCCCCATGTGGTAACTATATGGGCTGTCCCATGTGGTAACTATATGGGCTGCCCCATGTGGTAACCATATGGGCTGCCCCGTGTGGTAACCATATGGGCTGCCCCTGTGGTAACCACGTGGGCTGCCCCATTTGGTAAGCATATGGGCTGGCGGGCTGCCCATATGCAATCAATCGCAGCTTGTCGCAAATGGCAGATTATCGGCTTTCCCACGCGAGGACCCCATATACCACCTATTGGTTGTAAGTTCTTTTGCAGCTCGTTTTTCATCCCTCCTCGTACATCGATAAGTTAATAGTTACGAAAGTTTTATTTCAGCGTAGGTATATTCACTTCAATATTCAGATGACAGACACTTGACATGAGATGAGAGACATGTTACACGGTGCCGCCCTCGTTGCCAGCGTTAGCGTCACGTTCAATGTTCCTGCCGTTGCTGCTGCCAAGGCCATATATGTAAGTTGCTGTTGCCACCGCCGGCGCCGCTGCTGGTGGTGCCGCCGCCACTGCCGTTCCTGGTGGATCGAAATAGGTGTTTCAGTGTCACCATCCAAGTCAGTATTCACAAAAAAAATTGTCTGAACACAAATATTTCTTTTAAAAAATGTATATATTTCTTTTTAAAAAAAATCTAAAAAAAATATTTCTTAATATTTATATCACAGTCAATAGCTTTTCAAGTCATCCACACAACACGTCACAGTCACATCATATCATATCATCACAAGCTGACATCACGCCACGTCACTGAGTCACTCACGTCGTCGGCCGCCGTTCCGTTTGCCTCCAGCTACACATCTTGAGCGAGGATGTCGTCCGTCGAGTCTCGTATCGCGTATTATTGCTGGGCTGAACTTCATGAAGGCTGAAATTAAATGTCATTCGTATAATCACAATCAGGCATTATGGCCAGATGTGTAAAGACGAGCCAGTCTTAGCAAAAGGATAGAAATAGTGAGGCTATGGGTTAATTCAGTGAGTATCCTATTTCAGTTCAGATATTTTAGTGCATATCACCTACATATTTAGCCGTTAATGCTTGTTGCAATAATTCGGATCAATTTTCTGATTATAGTTAAGTACACAACATGGCAGAAACTTACATTGTCAGAAGAGGAGACGGCAGACGCACGACACTACACACTCAACACACCCATCTGCACCCCTTGGACGGGCTTGAAACTGGTAGCGACACAACGCGACAGAAGGGGACGCCCGGTCTCCCCTCACCGCCTCAGGCGAGGATCGTCCCGGGACGCCCGGGACGCCCGCCGCCGGCCGTACAGTCTCGAAAACAGACGGTGGTCACTAAATTCCAGTAGGTACAGTCTCTAAAAATCACAGCGCACAAACGCACTAGAGATTAGCGTATCTGCTATAGAAGCCCACGATGCACTTTTGCGAGCCCTGTGTGAGGCCGTGGGCCCATTGGAGTCGGAGTGCGGCCAGCGCGTACCCCAAGAGGCTGATTGGCGCCTTAGGATCTCACGGGCCCGTGGAACTCTGCACTCGAGAGGGGAGGGGGAGTGGGGGGGGGGGGTACGTGGCCCTGTAATCTTGTCAACACAACAGCGGGGCAACGTAGTATCGATATTGAATCGTAATGCTGAAACTCTACTTTGTATCAATGTTAAATCACATGTCGAATCTCTCAGCTTCAGCACACCTAGCCCATCTAAAACCCATATGGTTACCATGTATTTCCAGCCCATATGTTTCCCATGCCGAAGTGAGCCCACCTAGCCCATCTGAAAACCATATGGTTACCACGTGGGCAGCCCATGTGTTTACCATGCCAACTGAGCCCACCCTAGCCCATCTAAAACCCATATGGTTACCATGTATTTCCAGCCCATATGTTTCCCATGCCGAAGTGAGCCCACCTAGCCCATCTAAAAACCATATGGTTACCACGTGGGCAACCCATGTGTTTACCATGCCAACTGAGCCCACCCTAGCCCATCTAAAACCCATATGGTTACCATGTATTTCCAGCCCATATGTTTCCCATGCCGAAGTGAGCCCACCTAGCCCATCTGAAAACCATATGGTTACCATGTGGGCAGCCCATGTATTTCCCATGCTGAGGTGAACCCTTCTAACCCATATGAAGCCCATCCATCCTATCTAAAACCCATATGGTTACCATGTGGGCAGCCCATGTGTTTCCCATCATCACGTAAGCCCACATATAGCCCACCTAAAACCCATATGGTTACCACGTGGGCAGCCCACGTATTTCCCATGCCCATGTAAGCCCACCTAGCCCATCTAAAACCCATATGGTTACCATGTGGGTGTGTTATGTGGGCTAGTGCACATAATAATACAACAGGATTGCAAAAAAGGATTGCGGATTTGATCACAATCCAAGTGAAAAAAGGGGATTGCGGGTAGGAATGCAATCCACTTCGGCACTAGGAATGTGGATTGGGAATGCAGTCCTTTCAAAAAGGATTTTACCGATGCCTGGTCTTTCCTTAGATTAACGGAAATTTTTGAGTATGAGCGGCCGGCCGGCCGGCCGTGGTCACGCTTTTGCGAGGCTAATATCTCAGCAACCACTTGACCGATTTACACGCGGTAATTTTTGTAGGGTAGCTTCATTCCTTCTACCAAGTATTGGACTATTCCTGATGCATGTGGGTGACCACTGACCCCCTATGCACGTGCCACGTGCAAAACGAAGAGGTGTCCGCTTTGTAATTGTTGCAATATCTCGGTAACTACTTGGCCGATTGCGCTGAAAGTTGGCATGTAGGTAGGCACCCACTAGGCACTGCATATCCACGTGCCAGATTTGGGGCGCTGCTGCACGTGCGCACGTGCAGGGGTCGTTTCCAGATCTCGAGAACGGCTCGAGCGATTGCGCTCAAATTTGGTAGGTACACAGTTAGGGACCGGTTAGTAGGGTGCCGTGCACAAGTCAGTTGGGACCCATTTTGCACGTGCGCACGTGCAGGGTGCCGCTTCCAGATCTCGAGAACGGCTGGGCCAATTGTGCCCAAATTTGGCACATCGCTAGAGACCGGTTAGTAGGGTGCCGTGCACAAGTCAGTTGGAGGTACCCCCTCGCAATTTCGCACGTGCAAGGCCCACCCTCTCGCTCGCTCCGTTAGTCGCTCCAAAAGGCGTTATACTGGTGTATTTCACACATTTTTGAGACCATTCTGACACAAACTAAACCTACCGAGAAAGCGGAATGCCCACCAAATCTACCAAGACAGTGGGCACTGATTGGACACTTAACCTTGGAACGTCTGGTGGTACTGATGCGCATCACTTGTCCCCGGCCAGATGCCGGTTGCCCTTCACGAATACCTACTAGACGTTCCAGGTTGGCAACTGAGAGCATAGGCGGCGGAACGGGGGGGGGGGCACCGGCGCACAGTGCCCCCTTTGATTTTGGCATTTTAACATTAGCCCTATGTTCGTTGCATGGAAAGAATGGGACCAAAAGTCGGCAGTGCCCCCCCCCCTCCCTTGATTGAAGATGTTCCGCTGCCACTTTCTGAGATGGTAGCTCTTTTTGCACGTAGCACATCTTTTCCCATTGAGAACATGCACTCTACTGAGGCGCTTGAAGGGACGCCCGTGTTGAATTTTGTGAACACATACTGCAACGCCAGCTCATTGCGGAAGGCCAGTACACTGTACACTGAGGCCATCTTCCGTCTTCAAGTCAGGGCCGCTCAATAATCCACTATTCCGCTGCTGCATGAATGCACCAGTTGGGTTAGCTGAAAGATCAACCCGCTCGGACAACGAAAAGTAACGGAGGAACGAAGGAACAGACTAAAATGTTAGCTTGTAACGGAGGAACGAACAACCAATGTAACGGAAGTTACTTGGTCTGTTACCCTTTTTAAAATGTAACGAGTCCGTTCCTCCATTCCTAAAAATTGTAACGGCGTTCCGGAACGGAGGAACGGATCGTGCCCACCTATGTATATCAGCGTGCTGTCGGTTTTCCCCCTATATTTATAAGGAAGTTACTGCTGACGCTTCTTGGCCTCTCATTGGTCTAATGAATACACCAGTTGAATTCGACCAATGAGGAGCCAAGAAGTAGCAGCATGCTCGCAGCCTCCTGATAAATAAACGGGGGGCAGACAGAGCTCATATTTCATGAGCTATTTTTTTTTATTTGATCCATGAAGTAGAACAATAACAATAAGAGCCTATTCACCTTTCACTAGCCTATTGGCTTTGTGTTGTGTTGTCAACCTATCCAATATTCACAGTTCACACTCTCACTCCATTTTCAATCAGTACAAAAAACATGAAACTGATTCTCGATTATTACTGGCCCACGTGTCACAACAGTAACTTTACTACTCGCATTTCGCGCTAGATTTAGAAGCGCTCGCGAAACCAATGTTCAAAAAATATCCAAACTCTGCTGATTACGTCATTAGCCGGCACCAGCCCGGGTTTCGGCGAATGAGTAAGCTGTTTGGAACTGGTTTGGAAAACGAAGATCTGCCGACTCGGTACTTCGAACATACATTGCGCTGCATTTGTAGCAAGAAGTATGGCCGTGATTCGTGAAACTGCCGTCTTATGATTCGCCTGCACCACAGCCGGACTTATGCCTCATCAGCCGTGCCGTGCCTCAACCGTAGTTCAGCCACAGTAAGCCAGAGCAGCTACAAGGTAGCCGGACCTGGCCGTAGGAAGCCGGACTTGAGCCGTGGCAGGGACCCGGACTCAGTGTTCCATTTTTCAGACTTTTTGGTGGCAAATCACACCTAATGGGGAAAATATTTTCATCCCTAAAATACGAATGACCGACTTTATTTCATCTCTGAAAAAAGTTTCATGTATTCCCAACAGCCAGTTTACATGTCACTTGACAGTTGATGCACCCAAATCCTTTTGTTTCTCACCCTGTCAAGATCCTGACATGAAATCCTGGTTTATCAGTTGGCATGAAAATTGGCATTTACACCATTTTGCAAAAATACTTCAGTTATTTACTTCCTTTTTTCTCATCCTAGGATTTCTTTTTCTTCATCAGCACACCCAACCAATATCCAATTTTAGAACACTGCCCGGACTTGAGCGAGAGGCGGTCCGAAACCATACCAATTCGGGAGCGCTACGGCAAAGGCTAGCTAACCGGAATAGAGCCATATATCGACCCAAGCCCTCGCTCTGACGGCGTTCCGTTTACACCGGTGACCGGCGCAAGTCTGGCATGTCGGAGTTGCAGGGGCAAAACGGACTTGAGTCAAGCCAAATTGCTGGCTGGGCAAACGATAGAGAATGGGCTCGCGCTCCCGCGTTATAACATTGCTCGATGCGGGAGTGAACGGACTCAAAACTGCAGTCAGTAGTCACTAGTGAACTGTTTGACAGTCGTCATCGTAGATTCACTTATGACATTACACCCAACTGCCTACACATGAGACTGCTTTCCTTTTTACTTCAACGCTTCAATGTGACCTAGCTTCAAAAAGCTAAAGACAGTTTTTTTCAACACATCAGATTCCAGAATTGTGATGTATTTAACATGCATCTTCCCGAGTCACATAAGATATGCGATCCCAAAATGCTACTCACTCCATGCTCATAAACAATACACATCAGATATTGCTGCGACAACCCCCTTAACATGGCAATTGGCAACTCAAAAGGCACTGACCAACAATCACAGATCACCTAGCATCCAGCCAAAGCAATACGGCAGAAGCATATAGGTAGTCTGAACGAGCCCAACGTGAAATTTCCAGAGGCTCAGAGGCCAGAACTAAGGAAAAGAGCGATTTGAATTGTCCGTTTAGAGCCCGTTTAACCCGTTTGGTTTAACCCATTATTGTGTCCTAATGGCATTCACCCTCCATGCTATACGACTATGCAGAATGAGTTCAGGTTCGGAACGCTTCGACAACAGCTCACGCCTCACCGACTAGTTAGTTGACGCTTATGAACGAAAACAATCAACCACCCTAGAGTTAAATTGTCAAATATTAGTACAAAATGACACATGTCCGTGTATCTCCCACCAAAATATTGATCTAGGATGACTACAACTGTATAAAAACGCCTTACGACCTCTAAAAAATCCCTGGAATCGTGTTTAACCCGTTTTCTACCAATATAAGGAGATATCTACGATGCCGCATAAACCGTATCACCGACTTTGATTTCGCCCGGCCTGCGCAGACCCAGGTTGATACCAAACAGCGGCGAATTGCCCAACACGGAGCGCAGCGCCGGGTCGTCATTGAGACGATACTGGCGCAACGTCTTGAGCGGCTCGCCGAGCGCGTCACGCACACCTGTCTCCGGGTCGATAGTGGTGAACAGGCAGCGCGTGCAGGGCTTCACGTTCTCGAACAGGGCGTCGCCAATGGCCAGGTAGCGCCAGCGGTCCTCGGCAAACGGCGTGCTACCCGACACGACAATGTTGCCACGGAATGCATCCACGCTGACGGGCCGGTCGACGCGAGCGCCCAGCTCGGCCACAGACGCCTCGTTCATCAGCATGTAGCCAGTGAGGTCGGCGAACGCCGAGCCATCCACAGCGCGCACTGGGAACGGCGGCACGTTGGGCCGGCGCGCCGTCTGACTGTCGGGGAACCAGCAGAGACGCGCCCCGTCCGACCGCGACGGGATCGCAGCGGAAATCCATGCAGCCGCCTCGTCACCACAGTCCAGCGCCGGCAGCCTGTCCTCCCAAACGCGCACCTCCCTCCGCCAGTTCAGGGCGGAGACGTCGCTGAAGCTGATGGAGATCGTGCCGGCGCCAGGTGCTGAGAGACGCATGCCTCCCTGTGTCGGCTCCGCGACGATACGCACCATCTCCGGGTAGCGGCGTGCTGTCAGAAAGCCGCCTTCCTCATCGGTCACCATCAGGGCTCTGTCTAATGTGGCATCTAACCGAGGTCCCATCGGCTCACAGAACAGAGCAGGCGACTCCAAGCGCCGCCCCGACTTCAGTGGATAAATGCACAGTTTGGACACCGTGCCGACCGGTTTCATTTCGGCCGGGTCAGGATGACGGTCGCCGAATAGTTGGAAATAAACAGTGTTGAATATCTCACTAAGTAGCCATGACACGAAGAGCCACATGATGAGGTCTCGGCTCAAAGACCTGCGCGGCTCGACGATTGCAAGACGGCCTGTTGAACGTCGTAAACGGTGATCTGAAAAAAGAGCAGAACAGCTGTTATTAAGCTCAGGGAAAGCCATGAAAGTCGATGACTTCATCATCTTGAAATGTCTTTCGTGGTTTGGTAAACTATACGCAGAAATGTGGGGAAAAGTCGAATATTTGCCAACGAAAATATGCGGATGCCGATATGAATCTTCGTATCGCCTTTTTTCATTGCTCAAAATTCGTCCGCAAATATGTGTCACCCTCATTTCCTGGATAGGTACGCACTTCTTCGTCTCTCGAAACTTTCATTTTCCACAAATCTGAAATCCTTGGCCGCCCAATCATCCTACGAAGATCTTTCACGAATATTCGTCAATTCCACCACATAACGACGACCGTGACCCCTTCACATCCCCACACCCGTTCTTACCATACCCCAATATAGCCAAGTCTTTCTGGAGGTGCACCACCATGACACTAGCTGAGCTCAGACCCTCACCCTATCAATTAGAATCCTGCCCCATCCCCACCCCATTCCTTCTTATGCCAAGAGGACCGCACTCCACGTGGCGTCCCCACATTACGATTGGGGATGGGGTGTGGGAGGAGGGGGAATCATGATGGCAGCCACCGTCTTGCGCTTGGCGTGCTCGATATAGGCGACTGCATCGGCCCTCACGTATTACGTACTGTCGTACACTTAGAGCACCTCGAACTATTCTGTAAGAGAACCCCAGGAGTCCCCTAGATCAGACGCGCAGATACGATACCTTCCCTTGGCACCTGCTTGGCACAACCACGGCAACGGCGAACCAGACTGAGCCGGTAGCTTGAAAGATTGTTGGAGCTATCCCGCAATCTTTTGAGTGATATGTAATGTAACACACAAATCTTTCGTAGTGGTACTTGGCTTCTCCTTTGCTGCCCTTTCCGCGTCCCAACACGTCATCTCCAATGGTCTCCCAACGGTCATGGAGCTGACGAGTGACGGGCGAGCGTTAAATGCGAGCGGTCGTTCGGGGCTGGTTTGACCCAGGCCCTACCTAAATACAGCAACAGGTTCGGGCCTCGGGAGCCTTCCGGTGACATTGCACATCAACATCGGCTTGATAAAGGCGGGTTATACGCTTGTCACGACGAACAAATGACAGACAGACAGACAGACAAGACTTTATTCCAGACCATACTGGTCCATAAAAACCCTTCTCACTCATCATAAAAAAACATTACAAACTGAAACACACATGCTAAAAAAAAGACACACACTGCAGCCTGAACGCAGACTGAGGCGAAGAAGAGAATACGGAATATAATATTTTCTATAAATTCAACACGTCATCCCACCTTTTATATCAATATACCGTTCTCACTCTTCCCTATGCCGCCGCAGTCCTCACACACGCGCTCACGCGACGCCAACGCAACGCCAACGCAGCGAACGCAACACGCTCACATACCGTCAAGGCTTGGCTAAAAAACGTAATAAGTTAAATACTAAAAAATATGGCAATGTAAAGAAAATGACGCAATAGCAAAAAAGTTACCATATTTGGCATTTGTTATCTGAAAGTAAGGTTAGGAACCCTATGTTATACTAGTTTTGTGCATAAATATATAATATGTTATCTATAAAAATAAAAATTAGATGAAATATTGAAAACTATTTTATTTAGTCGTAGTTCAAAATCTTTGCAAATGCACTTTTGCCTTAGTGCGTTACAAATGAAACATTACAGCCGAGCGTCGATGCCGTCGATGACGATGACCGTCGTTGCCGTCGCTGTCCGTTGAGTTCTTCATAAAGGGCCTTGGAGTTCTTCCAGTGGTATGTTGTATACGCGAATTTCCCGTTGGTTTGTATGGCGATGTATTTCAAGCTATGAATTTGTGCCTTTGTTTGTGTGTTGATGTTGTCGTGCTCGTGCGGAATAAGTAACATGTTGACTGTTGTTACAGAATCCATCGTGCTGCTTACAGAAGCTTGTGCTGCGTGCTACTCCATACTGATACTGATACTGCATTTTGACCACTTTGACTTTGGTCTTTGGCCGAATCATACATATCATTATATGAATATTAGGGGAGAGTGGGGTAAGGCACCCTGACCCGGGTGGGGGGTAAGACGCCCCACGATATAACAGGAAAACTTCACATATATGATGTTATAAGTTCTTGCAACGTTTTGTTTGTAGGTAGGGGCAATACATTCCTTTCCGGGGTGGCGCAATTGGTAGTAGGAAAGCAGGCGTCACACTTGCTTTTTACAACACACTTGTTTTTTGCAAGGAGAGGAGCTATACCAATGCTCGGATGTTTTTTAATCACATCAAAACTAACCAAACTTGAACTAACCTTACCTACAAGTACAATAGTACTACCCAAATCTAAAACGTAAAACCTAAAACCACGGTAGGGGAGAACCATGTAACACGGCCAGGGTAGGTAAAATGCCCCATGCCCTTATTTATGACACAATTGTTTCCTTCCTTTTATAAACATTACAGGTGAAACAGGTGCTGTGGAAGCAAAATGCTGATGAAGTTTGGTGGGCGCCATTGGGCTGATTTTATAGCCAAAAACATGATTTTATGAGATTTCTTGCATAAATATCTGTCAAAAAACAACATTAATTCACTGTACAGTTGTCACTTTGACCTGAGATGCTTCGGTAAGCAGGACAGGTTCATTGTTTACCAAAAGCAGTGTGAAATGACTGTTCCATGTTTGCTGATTTATCAGATATGTTGCCACACAAAGGCATTGTAAAGACCTGGCTACACTCTGCGTTTTTTGCGTGCGTTTTTTGCGTGTTTGCGGGTTTTGCGTAATATCGTTCTAGAAAAAAGGTTATTGTTAATACTTAATAAAATTTCTTTAATATTTATGTAAAAGTTAATAAAGCTTTATGTTAATTAAAAGTTTATATAAAAAACATATAACAAAAACGTATTACGTAATGTCGTTTCTTTCTAGATGATATTCCGCAAATCACGCAAACTCGCAAAAAACACACGCAGAAAACGCATTGTGTAGCCAGCCAGACCTTAAGATTTGCAAAACACCCGGGCTGGGCCGCTCATACTGAGATTTTTCCATTGTCACCGCGATTTTTCCGTTATATTGAATAGACTTCGCTTCGCTCGCTGCGCCCCCTCGCTCGTAATTAGCTTTGGCAATCAATGAACAATTGTCATGTCACACATGTCACACAAACGGACAAAGTCTGCAATAAGTGCAGAGCTCTTCATATTGGTAGGCACCTACTGAATCTTGACAATCCTATTTGTCTGGCACTTTCAGTTTCCCTCAGCAGCTTGTGTCATTTGGTGGCAGTCAGCAATGGCTGTCAAATGGCTTCTGTGATAAGCTGAGACTTACTGATGGCCTACCCCAGACATTTGCCCTTTGAAGCACATATTGTGCTGTCCTGATTGAATGTGTTGAAGATTACCAATTAACACTCATCTTTTTCAGCTTTTCATTTATTTACAACTTAATGGAAAAGTGAACTGTTGAAGAAACTTATATCGATGCTAATTTATTGCAAGAAATTCTCTAATTTTTATTTATCTCAGTTGGAACCTGCTTCATCAATTGGTAAGTACAGTAAACATTGCTAACTGCTGCTTCTTATTTTTGTTTGCTTTCAGATTATCTAACCTCACATTCAAATATGAGGTGTCCTAAATTTGCCGGTCCCGTAGCTCAGTTGGTTAGAGCGTTGGACTCCGTGTGGTGAGAGCACGCGTTCCCGGTTATGACAGTCCGGGTTTGAAGCGCGACGGGCGCTCGACATTTATGGGCCTCCTGACAGGTATGGTTGCGGTTGGTGGCAGGCCGTAGCCAGGCGAAGTCAGCGAGGGGACCGGCCGTGCGCGGCTTTGTGCGCACGTTAAACTTTGGACTCTAAATTCTGCCATAGAATCGGAATTGCGCGATCGGAGGGTAGAGGGCAGGGTCATCGCAACAAGCTTCGCTTAGCGGTGGCTCTGTCCTTGCGAATCCTTCCCATCAAAAAGTTTCGGACGAAATTTATAATAAAATATTGACATTGTAAATAGAAAACTAAGAAGTATTTATGGACGTGCATCATCCTGCTGTTGAGGCGCCCTAAAAGCCAACAAACAAGCAACAATTTGATGGTTGAGTGCAATCTTAGCTAATTCACAAGTGTCTATTTTGTTCATCCAATTGCACACCCATCATATGGTCTCATTCTAGTTAGCCGTGAAAGTATGCTCTTTATGCACAATTAGCATTCGGCTAGGGAGGGGCTTAATGAGGTAATGACGCAACACATAATCTTGCCAATGGCTCAGATTTTTTTAAAGAATAAAATCAACTTCGCTAGATATAACGAATTCGACTGCATCCGTTTCTGAATTCGCATTAGTCTGCTGGGAAAAAGGAAGCGCGCTCCCGGTTTTGGGGCATCGCGGATCAGTGAGTAGAGTGTGGTGTTTTGTATTGTACATTTTAATCTGCGAGCTCTCCACGCCAATCTTTGTGGTCATTGTGAACCTATTGTCAAATTAAATGATACGCATGATAGGTACGAGCGCCGTGCATGATACGCACGAGGAGCCGAGACGACGAGTCAAGAGAGTTCTGACGCGTCATCTGATCCGAAATAACCAAGGTCATCTGGTCCAGAATGCTAGTATCACGGAATATATAGTCTACGACACTATATATTCCGTGATATATATAGTCTATGACACTTTTGTGTCGTAATAGTCTACGACTCGTAGACTATATATTCCGTGCTAGTATAGTCGACTACAGAATGATGTTCAACTCCTCAGAAGCTATCAGTTGACCGGAGCGCTAAGTTGTGCCGTTTATCACGCAATTAAGCGTGTCGATTGTGAGCATTGGGACAAAGCTATAATTTGTTAACTCAGCCCGTGTGATGCGGCACAGCCTACCACTCCAGGGAAATAATTGCCTGTGAAAAGTGGAACATCATTCTGTAGTCGACTATAATACATTGATTCCCTCGTCCCTTATCGTGTGCTTCTCGGGGGATTGGCATGGGCAAAGCCATAGACCTCTTTGTACAGAGGTCTATGTACAGAGGTACAGGTATGGTGTACAGAGGTCTATGGCAAAGCTTTTCAACGGCTTAGTGGCAAAGTATTCGTCCAGCATCATCTTCAACCAGCTCAAATGACGTCACCTAACAGCAAACAAAAACTAAATGTCTAACACTTCATGCATACAGTTCAAATACTGAGCTAAAATGTCATCATCCTAGCAAATGAATTGCTCCAACTTTGGGTTTTGTAGGCAAAGCACTAACAATCTGCGTTGTGTGTATGTGGTACCTATTGTACCGGGACTCGTTTGATACTGGAAGAATGCACCGGTCTCGCTGCGGTTTTTCATATATTCTCACGGGTCTGGTACGGTGGCCGCGGAATTCTCACCCATCCTGGTACGTTGCTCTTTGGATTCTCAGGATTCCTGGTACCATGCTCGCGATAAAAATAGTTACCCTCTATCTCTATGAGTCTATAATTATATACCTCTCTCTCTCTCTCTCTCTACCCCCTCTCTCTCTCTCTCTCTCTCTCTCTCTCTCTCTCTCTCTCTCTCTCTCTCGCTCGCTCGCTTGTCTTCCTCTTTCTCTTTCCTCCCGACTTTTCTGTTTCTTCCTTCATGTTTGTCGTGAAAGGAGCCCGGAAGAAGATCCAGGTTTGTCGTGAAGGCACATGCTCACCTCATCATTGGCTGATCTTTTAAGACAGCGAGTGTGCACTCCGATTGGTTTGTGATATGCTTCATCGGCGGCCGTGAGCTGGTGAGCAGACTCATCGTGAGCTGGTAAGCAGCCACGCTTTAAGCCGGTGAGTGGACTCTTGGTGAGTCAGTGAGCGGTCTCACTAGGAGTGGGTGAGCTGTCTCACTTTGTGTCTCACTATGAGCTGTCTCAGCAGGCTCGTTGTGAGACGGTGAGCTGTCTCACTTTGTCTCTCACTATGAGCTGTCTCAGCAGGCCCGTTGTGAGACGGTGAGCAGTCTCACTCTGAGTCGGTGAGCAGGCCGGCTGTGAACAGTCTTACAGGGACCAGGGTGGCTCTGAGCCGGCGCGCCCGCGCATGTCCGCTGTGTTCCGGGGAGCCGTCGCCGTCGTGCCGTGGCGTGGTGGCGCTGCAGTGCCCGGTCGGGCCGGCCGGCGGTGGCGGTGACGTGACGGGTGGCGCGGGCCGGCCGCCCGCCGCGGCGTCTCCGGCCGACCGGGGGTGGTGGGCCGCCAGCCGACGGACCGGACCGGCGCCCCCACCCGCCAGTCGTCCGCCGACGGGCTGCCAGAGGTGCCGGGTGCCGGACGCCGCCGCCGCCGGCGTCCTTCCTGTGGTGTCGAGCGTGTGTTGGGCTCCACCCCTCCTGTGCGACGGGGGTATGACGAGTGACGACTAACGTCACCGCGCGGTGCGGGCTAGTGCGCAGTGAGTGCCGTGATCGCCGCTAATGGAGTGAACGATGGTGGTCAGTGCTCTGCGTGAGTTGTGCGACCTCGTTCATGCGTTCGTCAAAGTGAACTCCGTGGTCATTCAGGGTTGAAGACGGCCGTGTGTCTCAGCCCAAGAGCCATCTCAGAACACCGGCTAGCACTACTACTCTACCAGGCCCCGCCGGCTGCCGGTCGTCGCTGTGAGCCGGGCGCCCGGAGCCGACGGCGCTCCTATATGCGACCCCCGAGCACACCGTGAGTTGGCCGGCCGCTGTTAGTATGACCTTTTGTGGCGTTTGGTGTGCTCGCATTGCCGGTCGCGTGACACACTAATGGAGCTGCCTCAGCGAGCCGCGCGTAGCCGCCCCCTGAGCTGCGGCATGTAGATACAGAGCGGGCGTGTGGGTTGATATGCACTGAATGGTATCAGACTGAAATTGATAGTACTGCACGGTAGAATACTGGAGTGAACTGGATCAAACTGACCACTGAGCTAGACTGCATTACGCGGCATGCTGGTCACACTGGTTCAATGTAAGTGCCTGCCGCCGATCCGTGCACTGCGATGATTGGTGTTAGGTTTCGCCCATCTCGCCGCCTCGCGCCGTCCCGCCCCGGAGACATTCCCCTCCTCCCCCTCCGGCACGCCTACCCCCCCCCCTTCCGTCTGACCGCACCCCAGTGCCGCGCGGCCGTCGGTCCAACGCCCACCGTCAATGAACTCATTGGGAGCAGAGTGGCGCGGCGCTTTCCGAGCGGTTGTGTCACGCTCTTGCAAGTCCGATGACTCTGTTGATGGACAGAATGGATGCTGGTAGCAGACTGCAGAATGCAGATGCACCACGCCTTGGTCTTTGGATGGGTGGTTGAGGTGGTTATTGATTCGTGTGAAACTTACAAGTTTGATGTTGTCAACCTCCTGTCCAATCGAAAGGCCATCATCTAGACTAGATAGACGGGAAGCGGTTTATTGGTAGTTAGGTGGTCCCTCCCCCTCCCCCCATTTATCTGAAGCGTGATTTATTGACGAATCATAATTGGCGATCTACTGTCTTTCTCCCTGAAAAAATGTCCTTCAGAAAAATTGCAGCATTCTTACGGCAAAATTCATTATATAACCCATGCTCTTATGATAAACAGCATGACCTGGCGTCAGAAAGTTGATGCGTGCAACCACCGTGCATGTCCGTCCGGTCCCTGTGGTGATCCCTAGCGACAGCGACACTGGACGCCGGCTGCGGATCTCGGGTCGTCGAGGACGTGTCCTGAGCCGCCCTGCTGCTCCGTGATCGATGGAGATATGATCGCATCGGACGCCAACGACACTGGCCGCTTCCGCCGGCGTCCCGTTACGCCGTGTCGGCTACTGTCGGCGCGGCGGCCGCTGACAGAGCCGCCGCCGCCCCCGCCTCTGGCGCCCACAGTCGGCGGTGTGTCCGTGTGATTGGAGCGTCGCGAGCGACGATGTGCGGTGGCGGCGCCGATGGCACCACTTGTGGAGCTTCTCGACGCCTGCTGTCGGGGCTTCGTCCGACGCTGGTGCCGCTCCGGTGCCGGCCGCCGCGCGCTGAGGCAGGACAGCGGGAGGAGGCGGGTGGTGTGGTCGATATAGCCGCCCTGACGTGCTCTCGGAGGTGCTCGTGACAGCTACTGGTGTGGGGAGGGGCGGAGAGTGCGGTCTGTGTCGGTCGCGCAGACCCCACGCGGTGCTTCTGTGTGCCGCGTGCCAGGGCTCGGTGGGTGGCGCGCGGCCCCGCTCGGGTCAGGTCAGGGGGTGACCCGACGCCGTGTGGCGCCCGTCGAACCCCCGGCGCGGGGCGGGTCAGCCCTGCCGGCGACCCGCCCTGGCACCGGCGGCCTCTATGGATCTGAGACCGCCTTGGCAGCCGGTGTGTTTGGCCGCGATATTTCCGCCAAAATGGCACTAAATTTAGCGTGCCCGCGCCGGCGCCGGGAGCTGCGTGCGACCACTGATCCCTCGGCGGTTGGCGGTACCGGCGGCCCCGACCCCCGTGACCCCACCTCCCTCTCATCTCTCCCTCCCCTCCCTATACCCCACTGAGGCCTCACGCGACGCTGACGGCAGGCACGCGCTCTGCTGTCACCCTGCGGGAGTAGGAAGGAAACAGATCGCCCATTCAGGACCCATATCTCCGCGATAGTATTTTGGTGCCTTTGTGGAATGTATGGTTCCATCCGATAATTGGTCACATCGCGTGAACCAACTATTCAACTAGCAAGAGAAGGGTTCGTGTATTTGAACATAAAGTACAGCTCGAAGATATCACGCTAGGTATAGGTACTGGCACGGTCATGTCCTGTGCTGAAAATCTTGTTTATAGAGCTGGTTCCTTCCGCCGCCAGTCCACTGCACGTTCCTCCCGCAGAGCCCTCACTAGTCTCTCCCTGCCCTCGTCCCTCCCTCCCCATTCGTTCTGCTCGTCGTCCGTTGCACGCCTTGGTCGCGTTGGTCAGCCTCATTGCGGCCAATCAACGGTGCATCGTTTGCGGCGGTCGGACTCTGTGCACTGCTCGGCACCCATCTCCGCGGCATGGGCGACATCGCCTCCGCTACACAGTGCGTCCGTGCACTTTGCTCATTGCTCAGTAGTGCCTTGGCTAGTATAAGAACGGGGGTGTCGACTGGAGCCGATCCTGTGCTGACTGGAGTCGTATGTGACCAGGGTCGCCGGTCGGGGTCTGGGCGGTGTGTTGTCGGTCCGGTGTGACCAGGTCCGTCGTCTGCCCCCCCCCCCCGGCCGGTTCTGACAGGGTGGAGGGGGGATGACGTCAGTGGACACTACCGGAAGTGGGTTCGGCCCCGTCCAAGATCAGCAGTCACCACCTCTCGCCCGGGGCAGGGGGCGGGGTGGCTGGGGTCATTCAGCGGTGGAGTGTGCCAGCCGCACTGACGCGGGCGGGAGACGCCCACAGCGGAGCCGGACACCAGGTGTGTCCGCCGTCCAGACACGTGTCCGTGGGTGTGTCCGACTCGGGGACACGTGATATGTGATGTCCGGCCGAGACGCGACGGGATCGCCAGACACACTGGCCAAGCAAACAGGACTAGGAAAGGGTGTTCGGTGTTCAATTCATACAGAGATCACCAAAACGCGACAGGCTCTGACCATAGCGGCCGACGATTCCACTGGTGCGGTGGCAATTAGACCACACTTATCAACGTTCATTATCCTCATCAATAACCATCGGTGGTGAATGATTAAATTGGGCTGGGAATGCTCGTAGTGTCCGTTGTTGCGCTGAATAGTTATTAGCCGGCTCTCTAGCCGGACATATGGCTATCACATGATGTTGCCGTCCGGAAGTGGCTGCAGTCGACCGCTCGAAGCTTCGTCAACTGTTTGTTTATCCTGGTCAGCGTGAGGGAAGAGGGAGCGATCCTAAACCGGAACTCGGCTCCCTCTGGAGGCAGGGGACGGAGCGCTGCCCTCGGCGGTATCGGATGGCGATCCATGCCCTCATCTCATCGCCGGAGGAGGTTGGCGGTTGTGATTAATCGTCTGAGTGTGTTACATCATGAATGTGCATCACATGAGATGTCTCGCTTCTGATGCAACGTATCGACGATGGCACGGATGTTTGCATTGCTAATGCGCCACACAGGCCTGTTGATGGCTGACATCCGCAGGTGGGTACTGGGCGTGATGTCCTCCCGTCTCCACGTCCACCCCACCCCCGAACTAATGAGTGCGGTGGCCTGTGGTAACGCACCAACTGAGGTGGGCTGGTGGTGTATGAGATTGTCCATACCAATGTGTCTAGGGTCATCGCGATTCATCGCGATTCTATATCTAGGTATTTTTTATGATTGTTACTTCGTAAGAAATGTTTTATCTGCATTGTTATCATGTTAAACTTGAAGGTATCTTGACACTCTTCACGTGCGTGAGTTGTGACTAATGTCCTGTTAAGATCCACGCTGGATATTGTTCACAAGATAACACCTTATCGTTATGGTCCATAAGCTCACTAATAACCCTGGCTAATACCCAAGTATCGTCTGTATCGCCCATGGGCTGAGCTGGTCTGACAAAATTTGGGTCAGTTGCTGGGTCCTCGGATTATACATATAAGTTGCATTAGCGCCACAAAGCCGGGGCGTCTCTGAGTCAGCGATGCACCTTCCCGCGGAAGTGCCGGGGCAGACTAAGACGGCACTGCGGTCCAACTGGCTGGCGTCTGTAACTGTTCGGTCACCCCGTGTTTCCTGTCCGGTTATCGGGCGGCGCCCGCTGTGGCTTTCTGAGACCGTTACCCGCGCGCTCCGAGCGAGGGAGTGCCCTGGCCGTGTGAATGGCTGTGGGGATTCCTTTGTACTCGGCGGAGTGGTCCACCCCTCTCAGTCCAGCGGAAAACTCGCCTCACCAAGCTCGTACGATCCTCGAGCTATGGTGCTACTGAACAAACATCATAGAGCTCGTTTCATTGTTTGGATAGCCTGCTTCATGATATCAGGGAACACATATGCATTGGTGAAAGATCCACTCCGTCCTTGTATTTGGCTTGATGATAGCGGATAGAAATGGTGCCTTTTTCGTGTTGCAGCTGTTGAACTGAATGAATCTGGATTGCGATCTGTTGGTCACCCGCCAGAGCCTTACGTCATCATCTTAGAGCGTTACTGTCCTGCGAATAGCATGCGGTGGTTGGCACCGATGCCAAAGCTTCAACCACGAAGTAAACCTTCAAGATCCAGTAGCTACGATATCTTTACCGGGAAGTTTGGTGGTCCGTACGTTTCCTCGGTGCGGCCTGGAAAACAAATGTCTGTACCAGATGCAGTGCTATGAGTTGCACTTTTATTTCAATTAGTTACTCCTCGGCGGTAGCTTCACTGGCGGAGCGGGACCCGAAGATACGAGTCCATGCCGCCTCTGCGCCTCCCACCGACTGCACGTCGGCCAGTGTCCTGCGAGAGATGGTGCCGCAGGCCAGCTGACAGGCGAGTCTACCCACGGCGCCACGACGATTAGAGGTTTGGTTTAATTCAAATATATCTGAAGGTGCTTACTTCTAACTTCTTGGGTGTTGCACAGTTTTGAGGCGCTAACCTTGAAATTCATCTCCCTTGTAAATGTTTGGTTAACCGCTCAAATTAGCTCGCTGCTGACAGACTGTGTTTGTATATCGCGCCGGCGATTGGTGGGCAGCTGAAAGGGGATGTTTCCGTAGTTTTATTGATGAATAAATGCTGCATAGCTTAGGACAATGGTCTAAAAATTCTTCCTGGCTCCTATTGGCTGAAGGAACAGCCGGCGCGGGCATTCTTTTCGGATCATATACATGTTGGAAGTTGCAGCGCCACTGAAGACGATTTGTCATCAGAAGCATTTGGAACGTCACACCCTTTTAGCTAATAGCTGCACCGAAGTATGAATAACTTGAATTACCTCGGCATAAAGATGTATAGCAGGCCTGTGATTTCACCATAAAAACTCAATTTGGAGCACCTGACTGCTAGTGTCTCGCTGAATGGGTGACAGAGCGCAGAGTATCTTTAGCTGCTTCAAGCATGTGGATCATGGATCACGAAATGTGGATCATGTTTGAATGCCGGAACTGTCGATGTAAAGCTTATGCACCTGGAATAAAATGATGCAGATGACATATTAACAGCTTGATTTGGCCAGTCGGTAAATACCTGCACTTGCCAAGGTGGATATGATCAGCAGCTTATTCATCGCTGGCCCTGTTGGCTACAGGATGTGACCCACTGACCGACCTGCCCTGAACTTATTATCAGTGATAGCAACAGACGGTACCTTGTGTTTATTTGACTTACCTACGGAACCGGACGATGTCTCGCGAGCTGTTTTCTCTGCTCTGCTGTATGACATGGATGTTATTGCCCAGTTGTTTTTGTTCCGTGTTGGCTGATGTTCCATTTCTGCCATTGCTGTAACATCAGTCATCACCAGAAATGACCTTTTGCTGTCATATAACCCCACCACTTCCACCCTCCGCTAATCTGTAGTTCCGATTTTGTCGGCCAGATGCTGGAGAGCGTGTCTCGGCGCGCGTTCGGAGGATCGAGCGGCACGTACAACGTTCGAGACAGCGAGCTGGCCCGCGAGCGTCAGGTGCGGGCGCTGCCCTACACGGTCCTCTTCCTGGACAACTCTCAGCATGTGTTCCACATCGAGGTGAGGAGAGCCGCCGCACTGGACGACCTCAACCGGTGTTTTTTTTTTTTCTTTGAGAAGTTATTTACGCTGGGAAGCCTAGCAGCAGACGTCAGACTGATGTTTTCATCATGTGCCTTTACTCTGTATTGTTGCTATTGGAATTACATAACTCATGTCTTTCTGCATTATTTTCATTTATTACAGTTTTACATTGGCTGTGTGCTTTCCCGTTGAGGCTATACCTAGACACATTGCGGGTTACGTAATGTTTACACCGTTGGGCCCCTTGCGGGTCGCTGAGCCGTTTGTATCTGAAATTTACGGCGACCTTCGTCGGGACCGCCGCGGCGGGTGTGATGGTTGGGCGGCCGAACTAACACATCGGCGGCTCCGGCGCCCGGGCGGTCCTCTCCATACGTCGGGCGGTGCCGGAGCCGGAGCCGGAGCCGGAGCGGGGTCGGAACCAGTGGGGGGGGGAGGGGGAGCCGTAGACGTAGCCGGAGCTGGAGACGTAGTCTTGAAGCTGATGCCGGAACCCGGGCAGAACCAACAGCGCTGCAGCGCTGTTAGTCAGCAGCGCTGCGCGATGACCATGCCGTGCGGAAGTGTCGCAGCGTGTAGGCGACAGTGTTCGGCACTAACTCAGATTAGCCGCGCCAGTCGTCCTGGGGCGGGGATGGGACTGTCTTATCGACCTGGGGTATATCGACGGCGGGGCATTGTTGTGCGTGGTTGCGCTTGACTGTGGGAGCTATTAGTGAAACGGACGCTTTTTACTTTTATTTGCTCGAAAATGGGCTGTTTTGTGCTATTGCAGGATATGGGGTTATCTGTGCACTTGCGAGGTTCTTCACCAGTGTTTTTGTAGTTGATTGACATTGCTGATTCTTGTCTTTTTGCGCTGATTGGCCTCGAACTTCCACCATTACATTATTTATCTGCTATTCTTCGCATCCTTATGTGATGCGTGTTGTGTATGCTGAGCGCCGGTTAATTCCTAGACATCACCGGTGACTAGCAAGTAGCATCGTCTCCCCGTCGCCGATGCCACCCTTCGAACCACCACTCAGATGGCGGACACACTGATCCAAGTCTGGCAGCCGTTTGGTGGGGCGGTCGTGTCGCCGGGGTGTTATTGGCTCATCCGGGTCCGCCTGTGGTGGCCGGGCCGGTGATCAAGTTAGCTTCTTCTCCTAACCAGGTTATTCGACTTTGTGAATGGCTCACTCAGACGTCCGTATTGGTTATCCTCCAGCGTGGCTGGTCTGGTGTGCTCCTTTTGTCAGACGCGTCTGGTTCCGGGGCTGCTGTCGAGGCTCCTTTGTGGGGGCACTTCTGTTTCCTCTGAGTGTTTCTGATTTCTTCTGTTTTTTTTTTTCATGTGTCTTTCCGCAGATGGGCCACACTGTTCCTGACTGTTTTGCTGTTTCTGACATCTGCCTGTGTTTCTGACCTTTTCCCATATGTCTGTACACAGAAGAGGGGCCGCAGCTTGGCTGTTTCTGACTTGCTGTTGCTTGTTGTGTCTAACATCTCTCTGACTATTTTCCCCTGTCTCTGTCCGCAGAAGAAGGGCCGCGGCCAGGCCCTGCTGGACCGCGTGTACCAGCACCTGGAGCTGATCGAGCGCGACTACTTCAGTCTCCAGTTCTGCGACTCCGAGAATGACGACCAGGTTATGGTGAGTCGTCTCGAATCCCGGCTGCTGGAAGTCCCTAGCGAGCGACCATCCTAGATAATCCCATTCACAGCTGTGGGTGCACTTAGATGGCATCAATTCAGTATTGCACTTGAATTAAACCTGCTTAGTGCTTACTATTACGCAATACACTCTTATATGATATATCTACAAATAAATCCAGTAATTATAATCATCTAGAAGATTATTCGAAGGACCCTTTTTCTTGGTGGTGATATTGCGGGTAGTTTGGTACATTCCGCCGTTTTTCCTGATATTTGTTTTCTTGGGTAGGTATGTAGTTACCTTAGTGTCAGACGCATGTTAAAAATTGGCGACTCGCCCGCGCAGATGTTTGGCATCTGCCGCAGTAGATCGCTCTGCGGATCGCTATTTCATTTCAGTGACCTGCTGCCAAGCTGTCAGTAAATCGCTCGATGCTGCTATCTTTGAATTCCAGTCAGTATATTATGTGAGTGCCTTGGTACGTCTTTTTATACGCCAATGAATCTAATCTAAGAGCAATGTTTGTTTCATCCCGCTTGGGATCATTCGTTTCATTGGTTACATCCAATATGTTGTAGTGAGTCATCCCCATTTACTTATTATTGAATTATTTCACCCATTGGTATGTGTGATTAATACTACATGCTATTGTCTATCTGCCGCTGAGAGCAGACTGCTGCGGTCGCTACTCTGGTCGTTGTTTGATAAGGTCATTCCGGGAGCGGCGTATTGTGGGATTATTTCTGCAAACACTTCCGTGTTTGTCTTTCCTCATTGGTGTAACAGATCATGCTATGTTTGGCATCTTCCGGTCGATTCTTAATCCGCTTATATGTTAGCTCACTCCATCACGAATAAAGGTATGATGGTCATGAACCTCATGAATCTTGTGATTTTAAAGGGACAGTATCATCGAAAAAAAAATCCATGTATGGAGCTGATTTTTTTTTTTACTAACATTTCTTATTTTTCTGAATCAGAAAAACATAGTTTGAGGACCGAACTCGGTGAAAAATATTGCAACCACATTTCATTTTCATGATTCATTTTCATGAGCGAACCACCACTATACAAGCATGGCCGCCAGTTTGGAAGCATGCAAAATTACTACAGAACTGGCGCAGATAATACATTATTGACGCTACGCTTACGCGGTCGTTCTTCTGATTGAGTTGTCCTTAGGGAGAGGTAGCCTTAGGTATTGCCTATAAAAATATCACGTGACAATTGGAGGGAGTGACAATTGGACGTGACAATTGACAATGGGAGAAAATATCACGTGACAATCACGTGATAAACGTCATACATTGGAGGGAGATTGTGATTCAAGCTGGAGGAATTCCTTTGTTGAGCCGCTAGAATCCGAAGGAAACAGCGGAAATTGCCTACGACTATTTAATGAATTTAACGGTGATGAATAAGTGCGAAAAACGTTTTGGCTTTATAAAATTTGATGAAATGACCAGGGTAAAAGTTTTATTACTGGCGGTCAATTCAAAACGGCGCAAACATTTAAACAGTGAAGATAGTGAAGCACGATTCAAAGTGTGGTACACCTTTCGTACTTTGAGCGGCGATAGCGGGATAACGGTGTGGAGCTTCGAGGATCGGTCTTCAGTTCCCGGACCAGAAAGGTGGGGCCTATGCAATGTCAAATTTCATCAAAATGGTGATACTGTCCCTTTAAGTCAATAATTGCGGCTGTTGAACTGTGACATATCGGTGGGATAAAAAAATGGGTTAATGTTCGGTTTCCGCTGCGGTTTCCGATACAGATCTTCATGATAGATGTTGTGATTTCTGGCTATTGTTGGATGTTTGTTCCGTCTGCATATCCCGGGATACTACCTCAGAATGGACGGTAGTAGCTGTGTGAATCACTGTCTGTGAGACTGACAGTCTCCGGCCACGGCCAGGTGGATTCACCCCACCCGTGGCACTACATTTTCCGTGACCGTCCGGGTCAGGGGGTACAACACGGGCTACTGTACAGTGCCGGCCAACTGCAAACAGCAGCTCAAAGGTGCCAGTCGGGACCGGCCCGGCGGTCTATGATCTCTAATGGGAGGATGGTGAGGGAATCACCAACCTGAACTGGACGTGTGAGACGGCATCCGTTCCCGCTGACCTGATTGCGACCCCGGCGACCCCCGTCCTGTGATCCCTAACCCTGACCATAAACATCTGACTTTAATTCACTCTGATCGTCTCCCTGTGACTCCCGACCTGTAACCCCAGCCTCTGACACATGGCCTCTCCGCGCGCTTGTCGCTCAGTCTCGTCACATCCCGCCTCCATCCCGACACCTCACCGTTCCCAGTGACCTGCACGTCTCCTCCCCCGCAGACTGTGCTCTGTCTGCCCCTGCGTCCGTCCCATCCGCCCACTGCCGCCCGTCGGCCGGCAGATGCCCGCTGCAGTGCCGGCCGCGAGACGGGATAATGCATAACGCTGATGAAGTCTAAGTGGTGGGCGCCGTCGTGTGTTACCACGTGGGTCCGCCGGCGGTGATGTGTCTTCATGTTAGACTGTCTGTGTTAGCGACGGGCCGTGGTGCACGCGGTGCACGTGCAACTGCACAGGACCGGCCGCCGTGCAGTGGCGCCCGGGCCAGACAGGCGCGCGGGGGACCCGGAGTGACGCAATGGATGGGGATGAGGGCTCCGTTATGTGGCCCGCTCTGGCGGACGGAATGTTTCTGGGAAGGGAATGGGAGCGTGACATCGCACCGGTCAGGGGGTGCGGCTCAAGATGATGCTCGTTCATTGATCGAGTATTGGGATGTAAACCAGACATATTTTTCCTATTTGAAGTATGTCATCTGCTGGCCATTCGTTGTTTTTCTTTCTTTCTTTTTTCATGGGCGGCTTTAAGCTTTTTTGCTAACGAATTCGATTTATGCGTTGCTTTATAGATATGCAGATTGCATACGTTAGTGAACAATTCATTGCGTTTGTTCCCGGCGATTTTTTTTTTTTGCATTACTTGCATTATAACGACATTTTATCAGCTATTCTACTGAACTCTAATACATGCAATGTGTCCCTCAAGCGGCGGAAAGTATCTTGAACCGTTTCCTGCTCATGCATTTCACAGTGCCCAGCCAGTGTTTATTTTGACGTGTTTTGTGAGCTAGCTGCTGGTCGACCATCCGTACACTGTGGTCTGGGGTTACTCCCAGCGCTGGTTTCTGGACCTGGCAATACCGGACAGCTGTCCTGTCGCGACGCCATAAACCTGCACTCGTCATGATTGGAAGCTGCCGGGCGGGGCCTGATTTCCCAGTACTGTTGTGGTGTGTTTGGTGTGTGCGTGTTTGTGAGGGATTTTGCTGGGAGTTTGCCATGGAAGGGTGTGGCCGGACCTTCAGGGAATTACCATATCTGATATCTGCGCTTAGTGTTGAGCGCTAATGACATTTTTGTCCACGCGCCCGTAAACTCCAACGAACAGCAACATTGAATTTACGGCATGATGCCTACTCTCTGGTTGTGCGATGTGTGAGATTGTATGAGCGGCGACAGAGCCGACTGTCCTGCGGGCTCTCCATTTACAGGGGGCGCCGCGGATGGCCACCGTGGTCCGGACGCCCTAAAACCCCAAAGCATCAGTATCCATATTGCAGGGCTGGCTGGACCCGCGTGGCTGTTTGCGTGTGTGTGTGTAACCGGGCGTATAATCTGACCGTCTGGTTTCCTCTCTGTGTTACAGCGGTGGCTGGACCCTCGCAAACCGCTCCGACGCCAGGTGGCCGGCAAGACGCAGCCCACCACCTACCACTTCCGCGTCAAGTTCTACGTGGGCGACCCGAGCAAGCTACACGAGGAGTACACGCGCTACCACTTCTGCCTGCAGCTGCGCCGGGACGTGCTGGAGGGCCTGCTACCCGTGCCGCCCAACACCGCCTGCCTCCTGGCTAGCTTCGTCCTACAAGGTGGGTGACGGCGCGGCTTGCCGGATAAGGTCGTGGGAGGGAGAAAGGTTTGTCTGGTGTGACAGACCGACTTAATTTTCCTCGTTGTCATCTCGTTCCTGTACTTCATGGTCATACGGTATCGGTGATTTGATGTTGCGAATGTTTTCCTCATTCTAGCTAGATATTGCATCGAAAACACTGATGTAACACATTAGAATGTATGTATCAGTCTATGAGAGACATAGTCAGGCCGTCATTAAAACTTTCCATTTTCTCAGTGCCGTGCGATGTTTGGTACTTCCCGGCCCTCTCTCTCCACCCCGCAATGTTTGTGATTGTTAGTTGTCCCGGAAGAAGCTTTCTGCTCTGAGACAGCGGCAGCTCAGAAGCCCGTCTTTCGTCTGTCACTCCCCATCGAGGTGTTGTTAGGCCGACTTCCGCATCTCGGCTGCTTTGCGAATGGTGGCTTTATGCTGCTTATCTCGGTGTGGTGCTAATTTTTGGGTGGCGATTATGTGCCTTGGCTTTCGGCAGTCTCAGCTCAATTGACTCCAGTTCAATTACAAAAAAAAAAAAATCGTTTGCGGCTCCGCCCAAGTCGCTGGCCTCTGACTCCCTCTCTTTTCCCCTCAGCGGAGTTGGGGGACTACTGTCCCGAGGAGCTGAGCCCCTCAGTCACTAGCCATTGACTCCCTTACTATTCCCTACAGCGGAGTTGGGCGACTACTGTCCCGAGGAGCTGAGCCCCTCCCTCGGTCACTAGCCATTGACTCCCTTACTATTCCCCACAGCGGAGTTGGGCGACTACTGTCCCGAGGAGCACCCGGCCGGCTACCTGTCCCGAGTACAACTGCTGCCCAACATGACAGAGGACATGGAGAAAAAGATCACCGAGCTGCACGCCCGGCACCGGTACGGGCGGAAAGGGCATCATCGCTTGAGTGTTCGTCGTTCGTCTACATAAATAAAGGCAATGTATAAATATGCTTGCAAGCAGTCTTTGGTAGACTGATGGCTGAACCTAAAGGTCAACGTATTCCCTCTAATGTGTTATCTATTGTTCAATGACCACCAGATGGACTCGATGTATCTATGAGCTGATTAAATGATGTTATTTTTTTAGCAAGTCTTGATACTGAGATATTGTGGACACCTGTCACCGAATTCATAACATGGCAGACAGCGGCTCGTCATCGGTATAATGTTGTTGGTCGTTTTGCTTAGCACAGACCGTCCAGCGTCTGCTGATTTGCAGGGATGGTATTCTTACGATCGATCCGTTCTCCGTCCATTTTTCAGTGGCCTTACTCCAGCCGACGCCGAGTTCTACTACCTGGAGCACGTCAAACGGCTGGAGATGTACGGACTGGAACTGCACCGGGCCAAGGTAAAATGTGGTCAGCCATAGGCATGGGGACACTAGTGCCGAAACTGCATCCGTTTAATGGGTATAATCATTTACCGCAAGTATCTTTGACTCGTTCGCACCTCTTCACTCACCGTGGCTGCACTGAAAATCGCAGGAGCAGAGTTGGTCGCATGATTCTGCCAGCTGTGTTGTCCGTGCTAACAACTGTCTCCTCTGCCGGCCACCAGACGGCGCTGATGTTAACGTTTCCTGCTCTCTGTCTCCCGCAGGACTCGAGCGGTCGCGACATTCAGCTCGGGGTAGCTTCTGTTGGCCTGGTGGTGTTCCAGAACAAAAAGAAAATAAACACCTTCTCTTGGGCTAAGATCGTCAAGATCGCCTTCAAGAGGAAGGAGTTTTTCATTCAGCTCAGAAGGGAACTGGTGGGTGTGCATCGGTTATCGCCACAGCTAGTGTGGTTCTATTCTGTCATTTTGGTACCTACATATATGTCCTGTGGTGAACTACTCGATGTAAGTGAATGCGGTCATCGATGACACAGACCGGCAACAGTAAGATTAGGTGTTCTTTTAAGGCGGAAGTATATATTTGTTTACCTCTATTCGTTTCCCCCCTAATGCGCATTCTTTTACCGCTGCATCAGTGCCGTCACATCGTTCCGTAAAGCCACTGTTAGCATTCGCGCCATGTGTCATGCGTTTCCGTCTCTGACCGCTCGCACCCCGTTCCTCTCAGTCGGAGGACTACGATAGCCTGCTGGGGTTCAGCCTGCCTTCCTACCGCGCCTCCAAGGCGCTGTGGAAGACGGCAGTCGAGCACCACACCTTCTTCCGGCTGAACGCGCCGCAGCCGCCGGTCCGGCGGCTGATGGGGCTCGGCAGTCGGTTCCGCTTCTCCGGGAGGACAGAGTATCAGACCCTTCAGGAGGGGCGCCACCGCGCGCGGCTTGACCGGCCCTTCGTCAGGTGTGTGATCGACGTGGGAAGGGCGATAGAGGGAGTAGTAGCTAGACGAATATGAAAGGAAAAGATGGTACCTACCTTGAAGGAGGTGTGAGTGGTACCGGATCTATTAAAACAGTGTTATCATGGCTATGAACGGCGATCGTTGATGGGTGGTTTGCATTGAAAACCGAGGTAGCCTTCTTACTTTCATCCTAAAGTACAAATATTTTGTTTCTTCCGAATTTTCATCATGTAGGTAGACCAATTGTCTTAATCATCGTTCATCAAATGTTCATGCGTAAAATCAATATCCCACATGCATTTTATTTAGTTTGCTGATGAATTCGTTGCGTGCCGTGACCGGCAGTTGAGTGGTTTTGCCATCAGCTGTTGCGTGCGACCTTCCGGTCGCATTGCTGTGCGCTTCCGCCGGTAGTTGCGGGGATGCCTGCGGCTTGGCAGTGTGGTTTAAGGCGGAAGTCTGTCTCGCCACCGCAGCTGAACCCCCCTCCTCCCACTTTCCGCCGCATAGTGGGACATTCTGACCTCTAACGCGCACCGTCCCTGAAATTAATCCTCGCACCTCCGCAGCGTTCTTTGCGGGCATAGAAAAGAGTATTCTCTGCCCTCTCCCGTCCCCAGTCTGAGTGTGTGACCCGAGCTGACCCCGTCTGTCTGTCTCTGCCAGGTCTGGCCCGCAGCGCGGCGGGCCTCTCCACCAAACACTGCCGCCTCTCAGCTCGGAGGAGCGCCAGCGACTGCTGGGCCACGGTCGGCTCGGTACGCCGACCCAGCACCGTGTGACGGCCGCGCAGCCGAGCCGGCCGGAGCCGCGCCGCGCCTGGACAGAGGACTCGCCGCCCAGGTCAGTCGGACGCTCCGGGCGGCGCCCCCAGCTCCCCCAACAACCCATCGCCCCGACAACTCTCTTAGACAGCTTACTATTCCAGCCCCTATGGTCTGCTCTCAACCCAACCTCGAGACCCCCGCCCCTGCCTCGGTGGGCGATGGGAACTCGCCACGCCTCGATGTGTCTTAAGCACTCACTCATGGAATAGCTGAATGAAGTTTAGGGAAGTATGTGTTGATGTCATTCAGGCCACGTCATGATCTTCCATTCTATGAATTTGATAGGAGTGTTTCCGCTTTATTCGCTCCCTGTAAGCGACACTTGTCTGATAAAGTTGGTGTCTTCCCCGCGAATGACTGTTCGCTGCACAGACTCTGTTGAATCATTAGCTGCTGATAGAGCACTTATCATATCCATTGCATCCTCTTCGGGCTTGTGTGTTCGCCACATCATCTGAGTATCTCGCTCAACAAGCATGACCTCGCGGCTCGACCAAGTGGCATGACCAAGTGGCTCGACCGTCTCAAGCGGCGCATGCACCTCTTTCTGCCTCCCCGGCGGCGGCCACGCGCCGGCACGCGACCTTGCCGAGCTCATAGTCTCGGTCAGTTCTCTGTTACGTTCCTTCACGGCGCGGCGCCTCTTGGTCACGCCATCTCGACGTTAGGCGTCACGGCAGAGTGCGCGCGCGTCCCGTGCCGGTAGGGGGCTGGAGTGGCGCCCCGCCGGAAGCCGGTGTTTGCAGCTGATAGAACTATCGGGCGGAACCGTGCAAGGCAGTCCGATAGCGTCCGCCCCTGATTGGGGTGTTGAAACTGCTTGATAGGGAGGCATCAGTGGCTGTCGAGTGTCGGTGTCTAGATATTTCCGGATGTCTCGGTGCGTTAGCTTATGAATCCTTTCCTATCAAATATTTTTCCGCTGATGGTGGAATAACTAGTACCTCTTACTTTCATTCATTTCTCCCTACCGTTTTTTTTAAGCCTTCGCACATTTTAATTCCAGCCGTGCCTTATGTATTCCATGAAGACCAACAGTCCCATTGTTCCGTTGATCATCCCATCCAAGGTCTTCACGACACGTTCCGGAAGGTGCGGTCTGTAACCCCTTGACCTCGCTGCCTTGAGGGATCTTAGCCGAGACACGGGGGTCTAAGACACCTACTGTTAACCTTCATGTCAATGAATGGCTGCTGCTCCCAGTCAGAAAGCTAGCAAGCCTTGCAAACCATTGTCTTTTTCATGTACGAAGACAGTTGCGGTGGGCTGGTGTCTCCGAAACAAGTCTTGTGGCTAAATTGCAACACCGGTAGTTTTCGCAGCTGTTGATTTACTGATGGTGCTTGACCTGGCGGTGTGGAGCGATGGCTGGTGGCTGGGATATCATATGTATATCATACACCGGAAGGCTGCTGGCCGGACGAATTAGTGGAGTGAAGATACCAGTCGACTGACGGATACCAGTGATCGGGAGTATTATGTCGGATGATGTCAGAGGATAATTAGGGATTGTGCTGTCAGAATGTCTGCCTTCAGGTCGTCAGCCTATCGACTGTCGGATGTCGGATATTGGCCTCTTTGGGGTCTGGTGTCTTCCTGTCTAGAGTCTGTCTGTCTCATAATGGTCTTTTGGCGACCTTGCGTCTGTCTGCCGGGTGTTTACCCCTCGGGTGCCGCCCTGTCGGGGCTGGCGCCACTCGGGATGGGTGCCGACGGCGGCGGTCGTCACAACACAGCCCAACCTTGCCGGGGTCATCGGCGCCGCCTCCTGGGAGTGTGGCCAGCGGTGCTAAAACGGCCAGTAAAAAACAGCCCGGCCACTGGTCATCCACGGGTCATTGACGGCCCAGATCGAACGGTCGGTGGGAACATTTTCCGCGCTGACGCGTGCTGGTCGGTCACGTGGTCAGGGACACAGACCTCATTGGCGTGTGAACGGGGAGTTTTGATTATATAATGTACCACGACCTGCTCGGATATGTTTATGAATGCAGAATGCTCGACCTGACTGACAGCCGGTGTTCAATTATGCAGTGCTAATTGATGTTAATTGTGTGCTGGTATCATGCAATCCTAATGATCAGTCAGTAACAATTTCCAGTAATGAGAATGGTGCGGTTAATTGTACGGTTTACTGCAGCTGGCGATCCCCGATAAATAACTGGCATTCATTAGTCCTTTAGTCAACATAACTCCTCAAGGCATGCCACTTGCCAGTATATAATTATTGGTCGATGCCTAACCTGCCCCGGCGCGTGAGGGTTGACCTTCGTTCCTGGCTTCTGTCTCACTCACCGGTGCCTCAATGTGAACACTGCTCCCGTTGTTGGCCGCATACCTTGCCAGCGCCTGACCATCACCGCTATCGCTGGCGATAGTGCCGGAAATTAGCGATCATTTGTCTATGTTAAACACTCCCTCCTTTGTCAGTCTGGACAGAAGTGTCGCCTATTTTCGTCTGTGCCTGACGGGGGCTCATCGAAGAAGCCCAGTCGTCATGTCCACTCGACTGATATGTGCATGCCAAATATTTACATCGCATGAATGGAAACGCGGCACGTGAACATGTAATGCGGTCAGCGGACTCGTGACGAGCTCGGTTTGATTACCTCTGTTTATCTAGTTAGTGCTCGGTTAGCGGCAGTTATCAAACACTCGTTTTCGTCCATCTGTGACGCTCCTAGTTCCACGGTAGCTCATGGACAGCAGTGGTTGGTGGGATCTTTGGGTACGCTGTTGACTGCGAGTGTCTCGCTGTCTGGCCATGAGAGTCACCTGGCCAGAGTTTCTGGCTGAGCCGGCACGCTGAGTCAGCTGCGCGAGTCAGGTTTCTGCTGGCAGTACGGCATGCGGTGGGCGTGCACGACGTGCAGAGCTCTCGGGTTTCCTCCTCCCCTCCTCTCCCTGCCTCCCCCCCCCCCGATACCGCCCCTCTCCCCCGCCCGTCTCATGCCACCTCGGTGGCTTGTAGAGTGAGCCGTGCTCGGGGTGGCGCCGTCTGCAAGAGCTGCTTCCCATGGCTGTATCGGATCTGCCGTCTCGCCCTGCCATGTCCAGTCAGACTAGGAAAGACGCCGCACGCTGCAGACTGAGTAATTGACAAGGGACATTCTGATACGGAGTCAGTGTCGCCTTGAGAAGGCAATTGGGATCTGTGTGTGGAGAGGTACTTGGCTTTGTTTTCGGCGCGAGGTCGGTTGTATGTACGGGGTTTACATCTTTCATTACAATCTCTGCCGTTACGCAGTACGTCTTTCAGCCTTGCATTTTAACTAGTGTGCTCCTCCAGCTCTTTGAGCTATAAGCCAGGCATTTATCCCCCTCTCATCCCTTCAGAGGCGTCTCTAACCGTCCATTGTGTGCACGCAGCCCCCACTCCAAAACAATGACCATCCTGCACGGCACACATTGCTGGTGGTTCGTTCCTTCCGTTCGCGTCGAAGGCTCCAACCGCATCACGTGGTCTCTCTGTCTGCGGCACCTAAAAACCAGTCCCTGACAAGCTGAGAGGCATAGGGCGCCAGCCGACTTCAACAGACGCTTCCGGTTTGAGAAGCTTTGTGGTTTTGGTTAGATAAAGGGGAGCGAGCTGTGCACAATTCGCACTGTTGCCGACGGTATCGGAGTGTATGAGAAGCACTGTCAGTCTGCCATATGGATAGATCTGTCAATGTGACGGATATGTCGCATAAAATGTCAACATTTGCATCATTGACAGAAAGGTATGTCTCGTTTGACTGACCAGCAATATGTGGTTTTGTCTGAACTGCCAGACGTCTCGGGCCGTTTCGTCACTGCCAATAGAAACCGGAATGGAAGCAATGTGCATTTGTTTGCCGGTAACAGACTGCCCTCCGACAAATGACTTGCTGTGGTATGTGACACTCGTGCCTAACCCCCTCTGTTGGTGACCATAACAGACTGTTCTCCGACAAATAACTTGCTTTGGCATGTGACACTCGTGCCTAACCATTCCCTCTGTTGGTTACCAGCGTTCCCTTTGGCATCGTTCCAGTAGTGATCCCTCGTGGCTCCCGCTAAGTCAAAAGCTAGCTGCATTGATGCCTAAATTATCCTTACCCTGGGACGAGACTGTCAGGGCTGAGGTAACCGTGTATTGGCGACTTAAATGTGCAATAATGCCCGCTGTTTATTGGTCTGCAACCACTCTGGCTCCTATATCTTCCCAGAAGTCCCAGCTGGCATTTCGATGTTCCATGTTTGCAACGGAGTGCAGTTGGCAACTGGGGAATCCATTATGGAAAATGCATGTTTGACGTTGTAGGTATTAACTTGGTACGCAGGGTTAGGAACGCTTCATTCAGTCAGCTCATTGTCTCATTATAGCTCAATGCCGTCGTAGATTGGTACGAGTTACGACCATCGAATTGCCTGGACCCATCAAACAGCGATGACTGAGGACGAAAATAAATTTATCCACGATCAAACCGACAGTGACCGACAGCGCCCGACTACCACGTACTCCTCCTAGTGCGCAACGCTCGTCTTGTCCAGGGTGTACCCCACCTATAGCAGACTACCGGCCGTGTCATGAGTCGACAGGGCCCCGGATGTGGCTGCATTCCGATCACGCACCAGCCGGCCACCGCGGGAAGAAAGGACCGGCCGCGCCGGGCCTCTGCTCGGCCGTTTTTCCGGGTCCCGCTCGCTGCAGCTGCGGAGGAGATATATACAGGAGATAGTGACCCGGCTGGTTCACGGTGACCCGGCGGCGGTGCGCGGTTCACACGGGTTTCAATGGCCGTATTTGACAGGCTACTGGATGATCGGTCAAAGTCGCTGCGGTATGCAGGCTGCGTCCCGGTTTGGTGTGGACTAGGCACTGCAGGCTGGGGCTTCTTTAGTGGTTGAGTGAAGCACTGAGTTAGCTTGGCTAGAGTAGCTTTATCCATTGGCATGAGTGTTATGTGCTGCTTCTTTCGCCATCGGAGCTACTAGCTCCAGTTCTTCTGAAGTGCTCGCCTTTTTAATAACTTTATGCTAAAAAAAAGCACT